GGAGGGGGGGGGGGGGAGGGGAAGGAGGGGGGTGCGGAACAACAATGTAATGCCGTGTGCACTATCTATCTACACTACTTGCTTACCAGCAACTGCTTACCAGCAAGGTATCATCAAGCGTCCACTTCTGACACACAGCACTTGCCAGCACAAGCGACAAAGCCGCGAGCGAGCACATGTATTCACTCACACTTCCAGCTGAGTTCGATCACATAGACACATTTGCTGCACTATGCCTGACAGCTTCCCAAACCAAGCCTAAGAGACTGAGAATCCTGTGCAATGTCTCACAGCCAACAGAACTACGTTTGCGCAGGCATCCAAAAGAATAAACTCTGCCACTTATATTTCTGGAAATGACGTTGGAAAGCGTAGAGTATAATCACATGATGACAAGCACATGTTTATCGGGATAGGGTAGCAGTGCACTGTCCTACCGAAACAAACAGAATGCGCTGTACTCCCAAAATTACAACCAACCACTTTGCATTCCAAAGTAAGGAAGACAACTGGTAATCATCGGAACAGAAAAAGCATCAAACAGTGTGCACCATTTTCACAAAGCTCGACAGCAGCAGATTTTTCAGACCAACGAACACAGCTAAATCGGAGCGATCAGGCTGCTAGACACTCGCCACTAAATCACCCTCCCGGTACATCATTTTCACAGTGAGAGAGCAGCGGCTTTTTCGAAATAATAGCAAGCACAACAACGATGGAGAGATCAAGTCACTAAACCCAAGAGGAGGGATCCCAGACACTCACCGCTAAATCTCCCTCCCACCCAGTCCCAGAAAGCGAAAACATTGGCCGTGTCAATTCCAAACTCGCTAACCAACTGCATAACAATCACACAATTCATGCCACAAACAAACCCACAAGGGCAACACCAACACCAGCGCACGGAGCATCCCCCTGTGAATGGTAGGCCCGAGACAAGAGATGCCAAAAAGCAAACAACAGAAGATGGTGACAGAAGACCGAACGCAAAAAAAAGAAACGGTCCACTATGCAATTACATCAACCACCGGAGTCAGGGCATGTGAAAACTAGAACGCTCTGGATGTGATTGCGGTTAGATTTGTGCAGGTCTGTCTGGACGTACGTGCGGTCAGATGCATTTCGGAAAGTGCTAGCCTGAGTACGCCCTTAGAAGGCCATATACCAAGGACAAGCAAGGCTTCAGGGTCCACTCTTTCCTTTCAATTCATCACCGGTCAAGTGTATTACATGGCCGGCAGCCCAGGCTGGGCCATGCTGCCCAGGTGAGTGCCCAAGCAGAGTGTCAGGTCAGGCCCGGGGAAAGTCCCACGAAGTCCGACTGCAAAAAAAAAAAAAAAAAAAGTAAAAAAAAAATGAAAAGAAATTTAAAGAATTGAAAAAGATCAAAACAACCGGAAAGGAAAATCTGGTGCAGAGTTATGAATTACACAAGACAAAAACGACCACCGACTGACCATCACACTTCAGCATTCCATTTCTTTCACGATACTTGTATAGTTCTTCTGATTCTGCCTCCATTATTGTAATTTATTTGATTGTGCTGCCATTATTGTACTTCATTTCATTCTGCTGTAACAATTGTAATTCCTGTTAGTCTGTCAGGATTTGAGCTCATGATCTGTTCATCTACAGTTACGAGTGCACCAGGCTGAGCATATAGAATTTCCCTCCTTGAATTCAGGATTAAGCTCCTTTTAAATGGCAACACCCTTGAGATACAATCATCAAACTGACCATCTCCCAGGCTATTTTCTCATCTGATTGCATCTGGATTCTAACCTGGGTCTGTATTTCAACAGTTCATGGGCGTACCAACTGAGCTTCGCCCATTGATTAACTGAAGAACAGAAATATAAGTTCAAATAACAATGTGAGGCGTGCCCCCTGAGAGGAAAAAGATCACCAAATTCAAAGGTAAGCCGCGTTCTGACTGCTCAAGGAAAACACAGATCTAAGCTGGAGTCAAAACCTTATGAAATTTCCTGAGACTTTCTTAACCAGCCTGGTCTAGCCTGGTAGGTGGGGTCTTGTCTTGACCTGCTCTGACCCGGTTCCCTGGCTGTGCATGCCCCATCATGCAAGTCTGGGTATCTAGTACTCGGTCAGTAATCAAAATATATTATAGAGACCAGCTCGCACGTCTCTGACAAAATTTCAATAGAATTTCTATCGAAGTTTGAACTGAATTTCATTCAAACATGTGATTGGCAAATCCTGTGTCCACTAGAGCTCAAATAGTGCCAGAATTTTAATAAAAGAGCCTCTTAGGTTACTTTTTTTGTGTACATTCTATTTTCTATTCTTTGAAACAATCGCTCCGATCTATTCGTGGGGAGCTTAACGTGCTGGGAACCCGGCCCCACATCCCTTACACAAAGTTTACATGAATGAGCAGTTTACTGGGGCCCGTACCTGGCTTCAACTAAATCAGGGATGAGCTTGGCTCCAAGTTAAAACAGTTTGTGCCTCTTTATTATTATATATTTTATTATGTTACGCAATTCTTCCTGGTATACCCAAGAAATCACGTGTTCCTACAACAACAGCTCTCCTTTTTTTTCCTTTTATTTGCAGTTCCCAAGCACAAACTTCAACTTTTGGCCAACACACACATTCATCAACAACTCTTTTTTTTCTCACGCATTAGCTCGCGTTAAATGAAAGCTATGCACACTGAATTTTTATTAGTTTTGCAACTTTTGCTTCTAGTTTACCAAGAAAGGGCACACTTGCAAAGTCTGAGAAAAATGTTTAGAAAAAGTTCAAAAAACAACTGACACAATTTGTCGAATAGTTACGCAGGGTCCTTACACAGGTTGACAGCTGGGAAAAGAAAAATATGTGAGAGGACAGTTCACCTTCTACTTTTCTGTCTGAGTACTACACATGCTGAACTTAGTCAATTCTTTACCAGCGTCTTTCCCATCTGTTTCCTTCCGACACCGCTGTTAGCCCGCCGGGTCAACAGGAGCTCACCACAAGTGGTTAACGGAGACACCCACTTTGAGCTCCTTCGTTACCGGGTCCAAACTGAAATTAGGGTTCGGGGGTAAATTTTTATGGGTTTTTTTTTTTTTTTAATTTGTTTTGCCTGTTTGGTTAAAATGACCTTTGGGTTTGGTTATAAATGACGCAACAAGGTGTCTGAAATTGTAGGCCTCCGTTAACCCTCTCTCAGGCTCACTCTACCAGGCAGAAACGGCTGGCCGCACCAGAGTTTGCTTTATTTTGGTGCGCAGCAGAAATCCGGGTCGGAGAAATGAGGCTCGGAAGGGACTGGTGGTTTAACGCCTGACCAGACAAGATGACCACTTTCTCCCATAACTGACTTACAAAACAACATGATTGTGCTTTGGAAATGCAGCAGCCAAATCAGAACAGAGAAAAAAAAAGAGCTCCGCGAGCAGACACACACAGCAGCCAAATCATAACACTGACTACGGAAGCACACACACACACACACACACACACACACACACACACACCCCAAGTCTTTTGAGTCTGACATTTGCGAGGATTTGAGCCCTCGACATACCTGCATACCAGCCCTATACGCAAGCATGTGCCCGCCCTAAGTGAAGGCGGACCCCTGAATCTCAATGTGGCCTGAACTAGTCATATTTGCAAGCTTTGGTGGACGCCAGACAGTTGCCACGCGCCAGTTGGTTACATCCGTCCTGCTCGTGAGAAGCAGAAATATTTGTGAGCTTTCTAGGCTCTTCCAGCCACGCGGAGGAAGGAGGCAACACCGCACATTTGCAACTGGGTGGTTGAGCACACCTAACCAATTCGTCCCGAGGCCACTGTCTGAATGGGCCTGGGCGCAGACACTTTGGCCCAACTCGAAGCTAGAGGGCACACACGCAGGCCAACCCGGCAGCAAAGCGGGCGAGCACTTCCACTTAGGGAAGAGCTCGCCACTGGAAGGGCATTCGGCCACCTTGCTAGTGCAAGTGGCAGTGCTGCTGGAACGTGCGCTCACGCCTGCGTGGTAGCGCTGGGTGGTGTGGTGCATGAACGCGAGCGTGTCCCGAGGTAGAGGGCTCTGCACTAAGGCAGCGCCATAGCCGAGCCCCCATAGCCAGGCTTGGGCTTGGTAGTAAGCCGGTGGGGCATGGCGGTGGGCCTTGGAAGGCGGTAGGACGTGGGTGAAGAAGTCGAGGGTGAGCACGAGGGGGCAAGAGGGGAAGTGATGTGAGGGCTGGTCTTGGCGGGGGTCTACATGGTCGATATCTGCATGTACTTCGGTTGCTGCTGCTGACGTCAACTGGTTGCTTCATCACTTCGTAGGCTGGTGGTACAGCTGTAGGATAGTAGTCTGGGTGCTGAGCGCCAACAGGAGGAAGAGCTTCGATTGCATTGTTAATGGTGGCGAGAGTATGCTTCCATCGACAATTGAGTTCCCTGCTTTGGTTCTCCTTCGGTGTGACATCAGTGCATTTCTGCTTTCTGGACAGCTTTTCGACTATCTGGCTTTCATTGTGATTTTGCAATCTGGAATTCTGTATTTCGCTATTGCTCATTTTCCGTGCACATTTGATAAAAAGTAGAAGATATAGGGCCTCGCTCCACTACTCTCGAAATGTGCAAAACGAGAGTGAATCTTCTGCTAGAACATGAAATACACCACCATGATTTTTGTCTTTTGTGCATTTCGAGAGTAGTGCAGCGAGGTCCATAGCTTGGTACAAAAGGTTCTGAAAATGTGAGTTGAATTGCCTCAAGTCAAAAGGCAAAACCCAAATAGCTATGCTTGGAGAAACTTTCCGTAGATACACTGATAATGACCATGCATTCTGTTCAGATGAAGAGACAGTACGAGCCAAGAATGACAAGTTCACCATCATATAATGTGCCAACCTCAGTAATCGTGTTGTGTTTACGAAATTTCAAACCCTGTTAGGTTGAAGCCCCAACGTCAGCACAAAAGGAATTCCATCACGACCTGGTACACAGGAAGTGCTCACCTTCAAGTTGGTACTCACGGCAACCATATGCTTCGCAACTGCATCCTTCCTGCAACCAAGAAAAACAGACAGCAATACAACACCAACAAACAAGTGCCAAAGAGCACGGGACAGCAACTGCTCGCTCAATACATCAAAGAACTCATCAAGATGACAAAGCCATAATATTGCAGATACGCAACAGTGGTCTGCGCAGAACGAACCTCGCCAACAAAGACGTCTTCACCCAAAAATAACGCCCGGGGGTTGTATACGAATATAACACTAACACCCGGCGGGCGTTATATTCGTTTATAACACCCGGGCGTTGTATTCAGTAAAAGGTGGCAACTTCGGTGGGGCCCCAAAATTCAAAACAAAAAGAAACAAAAAAACAGCCAAAAATTTCTGGGAAAAAAAATGCTGTCTAGAACTGCAATGCAACCAACTTTTGGCTGACGGTCACTTCAGAATTCCTTATAAATTCGGATAAAAAAATAAATAAATAAATAATCAAACCAAAATATGCCCCTTCGATGAAGTGAAAAACCCTTTCAACCCCCTTTAAAAACCATGTATAACCCGCTGCCACCCCCTTCTAAAACCCATGTATACTCCCTCTACAAGGCACTCTGCCCATGGAACATTCAAATACAGCTCCCGGGATTTCTATTCGAATATAACACCCGGCGTTCTATTCTAATATAACACCCGGCGTTCTATTCTAATATAACACCTGGCGTTACATTTGAAGGGGCGTACTATTCAAAAACAAAAGCGAGTAAAACAAAAAAATCTGATTTTTTTAGAATATAACACCCGGGCTTTATTTTAGGGTGAAAACAGTAGAGAGAGTCGCTGCTGAGTCAGTCAGTCTTTCAATGAAGATCGATCTGCACACAAGTGTTGGTTACATCTTTTTGCGGGACTCGATCAATCAACGACATCACCACAATGACAAAGCCATAATATTGCATATACGCCACACTGGTGTGCACAGAACGAACCTCTCCATCAAAGACTAGTAGAGAGAGACTCTGCTGAGTCGGTCAGTCTTTCAATGAAGATCAATCTGCACACAAGTGTTGGTTACATCTTTTTGTGGGAAGGCATCCCCAGGAAAAAGCCATTGAGAATGTTTGGAGAAGGCAATCCCCAGAAAAAGGGAGGACACAAAGAAAAACTTCAAAAAATCCATTAAGAATGTTCGCAGAAAGGGATTGGAAGTTGGAACTTACACAACCGAGATTGTTATCCAAAGGAAATATATACAACTGCACTATGTCACCGACTCGTCATACAAAAAAAAAAAAAAAAAGCACATTTCCCATCAACGCCAGAAGCATCTGGAAACCAATCCAATCAAATGGCTAAAACAAGTCCGACCAATCATACGGAATGCTAGAAAAGAGCTCGCTAGAAAAGAGCTTGCTTGAAAAGAGCTTACCCAAGTGCAGCAATGATCCAGCTCCTCACAGTTCTAGCGTTCAGCATAGTCTCTGCAGTTGTGAAAGTCTTTGAGACAATAACCACTGCACGTGCAGAAACCAAAAAAAGGACAGCTGCTGATGAGCAACTAACAATGACCCCAATCCCAAACATCTTCCACACAATCAAAGGGCACAAGAAACACTGCGAACGTGCCAGAAATATCACAGTCCTGTTCACCATGGGCCTCACTACACTACTCACCACATGGACAAAGGACAAAAAATATGACGGTGTACCTTTCCATGTTTTCAAGCGGCAGATACATTCTCATTTTTGCACATCTGGTGAGTCATGGAGTGAGGCCCCATGGCCCTCGCACTGACCTAGGACAAAAATTGTAATCTATGTATCCGGCGTCCAAACCAAGCAGGTTGGGACCGAGACTTAAGCTGGAGTCCACCCGTTAAACCACCGGTACCCCAGGGGGTCTTAGGCCCCCTCTGGGGAGGCTCTGATGCAAATGCATATGGACCCACACCGCGCACTGATTCAGCCACCAGTTAACGGCCTAAAAACGTGGAGGTACTGGTGGTTTAAACCGCCACACAGCCGCAGCCTTGCAGAAATTTGTCTGTTGCCTACTCCGAACACTTGTCCTACCGGACCACAATGCCTGTCAGCACCAGCCAAACAAAGAAAAAAGTGTGCCACTGGCAGTTCGGAAAAGCTTAAATGCAGTGCAGCGCCTCCAGGCCCGGATATACTGATGCTTTAAACTACTCCATATTGCTACCTTAATAGAGGGCAACAGCTGCATATAGTTCGTATCAGACACAATAACCGATCCCTCAAGCGGTTAACGGAGGCCTCAAAATTCAGACAATTTCTCATGCCATTTATAACAAAACACAAGGGTCATTTTTAACCACACTCGCCACCAATTCATTGAGTGAAAATCATACTCACTACTTACAAAAAACAAAAATGAAAAAAAAAACACTAAAAACTATAAAACAACAAGGCAAAATTGCTTGAGAAATTTCAGAAATCTCATCAGACGAATTTCCAATGGCCCAACTGATACAACATTTGGCACACAGCAACCAAACCCTAGTTTCAGTTTTGAACCCGTTACTCAGCAGTTGAAAGCGGGGGTCCCCGTTAACCACTTGTACGTAAGTACAACGAAGCAATCAAAAAATGACCCAAAATCTCATGACAAAGAAATCCCAACTGCTCGCCTGCATCATCAATACAACAACAATGTAGCAGCTCTCATATGATGTGGCCGCCTATACTACTCTCCTACTCTCTCACTGTACACCTCCTACGCTCTCACTCTCTCACTGTCCACTATGCTCTCAGCCAGCAATGCTGCGTATGACCACCAGTCCCTACCGCTGTCCTTCTCCCTGGTCACCCTAGACTCAGCGCCAACCCTCTTCCACTCCCAGTGCAGCTCTGGCTGTCACGGCACAGCTTTCCCGGTCACCCTAGACTCAGCACCAACCCTCTTCCACTCCCAGCACAGCTATGGCTGTCACAGAGCAGCTTGCCATGACTGCTCCTAGCACTTGACTGGACTGGCCTGCTGTACACACAGTCACAACTAGCCCCGGCAGCCAGTGCCTCTGACTGTATCAAATCATCTCAACTAACATGCACTACGTCCTTTCGTGTCTTTCTGGAGACCATGCGCTGGGCCACTGAGCACCGGCTGGGTCCAGGCCTGGGTCCCAGCCTCTGCAACTAACTCAGCTGGACCTACAGTTTAGTTGGAGAGGCTGGGGTGCAGCCTTACTTCCCAACTGTATCACACCAAGTGAAACCTGGTGTATTTTCGCTTCCGCAGCCTTTATTTTGGGCCAGGCACATTTTCAGCAGGTGACCCCTTCCTGGGCTCAACGAGGCCTGAAGCCTAGGACACCCATAACAATCCGTACTCCCTCACGGACATATTGAGTCAGCCATGACTCAATATGCTTGCTAATTTAGAAGAAAAAAGAAAAAAGAAAACAGAAAGTCCGGTTCACCTGAGAAAGGGTGGTGTTCCAGCCATTCACAATCCAGGATCTGGCTTTGGATCCTCTGGAATGGACTTGGACACCCCGCCGAAAGAGGGGAGGCCCCAACACTGGTCATGTCAGCCTTTACCAATTAACGGTTAAGTCGGCCTACAAAATGCTTAGACCCAAGCGACACCTAGGGGATATGGTTAATGATCAATGGGCACGACACCTCAACGTGGACCATGCCCTCCTGAAGCAGATTCGCTGGTTCAAGGGGCAAAAGGTCAGGCCCACGAAAATTACTTCCTTGCAATGGCAGATAGCTCACCGGTGTCTGCCCACCAACGACTGGCTGACAGACCGCACTAATTTGGAGCAAAAAGGACTGCTACTGCCATGGTGTCAACGATGCCAGAGTCTTTTTCCCTCTCATAAGAAAACCGAAACTATCGAACATATGTTCATGCAATGCCCAATTGCCCAATTTACCTGGAGATGGTGGGACCGCATTTGGCGGATATTGGTAAGCGACATCCTATGGCCCTGGTCATGGCAGGCCATACTGGCCGGGCTTTGGCCGACGGTAGGGGAAGCCACAGCCTTTGTAGAAAATATGTACGAACTAGGAAGAAAGGCGGTGATATGGGCACTCTGGTGGCAGAGGTGTACCCTGGCCTGGGAAAAAGTGAGGGTAGAGGGATCAGAGATCTCAGAACAGATTCAGCAGCAGGTGCAACTTGAACTTACGCAAAGATGGCTAGAAACGAAAGCACAAATCGACGTATTCAGACAAATTGGTGATGTTAAGAGAGGAATTACAGCATCTTGCACAAACTGGGTAGGAGGGGAGAGAGAAGGTTCGATTGCCAAGGTGGAGTGGAGTGGGGATAAAGGAAAACGGACAGCGGGATTTGGAAGAGTTAAGAGACTACCGCCTGATCTTTAAAGATTGGACAAACATAGAGCCTTCGTTCCCACTAAGGCCCCCCTCTGATTTTCCGGACCCTTTCCCACCCCACGCACTCTCCCTGGCAGAAATCCCATCTTGAAAATACCCAACCTCACAACCTAACATTACCCATACATTCCCATATACTCATACACTTGTTTACTCATATAAGGAGGTCCCCCCTGGAGCCCCCCGGGGAGGAACTCAGTTCTCAGCAGAATTTGGGTTTGGAGGAACTAACCCCTCAGCAGTAGATATCTAGCGCCCAATACAGTGCGAAGAGGTTTTCCCTTTCCCTCAACAATCTGCACAGTCAATCCTCTGGGAACCAGAGCAATCAATGCTGGCAGAATTTTCTCTCAGCTACTCTCCAGACTTTTCTTGCAATTCTTCTGAAAATCTCCTGTATAAGGGACGCTGGACACGTTTTCCAGCAGGTGACGCTCCCCACCAATAGATGGAGCGTTTTTTGTATTAAAAAAAAAAAGAAAAAAAAAGCACACAAATAAAATAGACTCTGAAATATCCGGTCAAGTGAAAGGCAGCGCAAAGGTGACTCACCCAACGTGGTCTCCGGCTCAAGCCCATCAAGTGCCAAGGCGACGTCGATGGGATCAACATTTGACAGGCTGCAACACAATCATAAGAGTGTCCACACGCACCAGAGAAATGAGCTGCCCAGCATGGAGCACAAATAGTAACGTGTACGCAAATTATTTTATTTTTGTTATTTTTGGTAAAGAAAGGCAAAAGTTGTTCAGTCTAGGTATCTGCATAACATGTTTTTTTTTTCGAATTTTTTGGATTTTCTTTTTACTTTTTTTTTGCTGGCATGTTCGGTTCAGTTTTCTACATAACATAGTTTCTTTTTCGGATTTATATGCAAGTCCAGTTCTTTCCAAATGGTTACTTTTTTTTTTATGCGATGTTCAGTTCAGTTTTCTACATAACATAGTTTCTTTTTCGGATTTATATGCAAGTCCGGTTCTTTCCAAATGGTTGCATGTTAACTCTTCCTAATGAAACCCAGCAGCCTTCTTCTCGTTGCGGGGAGCAGTACCCCGGCTCCCTTCCACAACCAGGCAGGAGGCCCAAGCCAATTATCTCCACTGGTGAACCTGAAGTGTATCACAGGCGGCCGCCGGGGATCAAATGGATGACGTGGGGCATCCAACCCACGACCTCCTGAATACCACTTACGTGCTCAACCAACTGAACTATGCTTGGGCGACATATACACTTTCCTAATTGCATGATACAACGATTCCGACCAGGTTCAGTTCCAGAAAGTCCGTTGTGAAGCCGTTTGTCTTTTCCCGAGTCTGCAATCCAAGGAACCATTAAACAGGCATCAATGGCTGCAATACTACACGCAGTTCTTTGCTCCTTCTGCAAGAGGACGAGACACTGTCTGCGATCCAAGAAAAACATTTAAACAGGCATCAATCATTGCACACTAAATGCAGTTCTTCGCTCGTGCAAGGACGAGACACTGGGTATTTACTGTTTACTATTTACAGAACTCCAAGGCCTGTATTGCTGCCAGAGGGAACTACCGTCTTCACTCCAATAGGAATGCCAAGGTCCAGATTCAGTGACAATAAATGAAAGGCATTCTATTCGGGTTAAGATGGTAGCATTGCAGCCACAAGAAGACATGCACTCCGATAACCTCAGGTTGTCAGCGCCTAATGAACTAACACAGAATTCGGTTTCAACTTCCAGCAGTTGAAATGGGTTCTCTTCCAAAGAAAACAAAGTTAACAATCTAAGTAAAGTAACCGAAAGAAAATGAAGCAACAAAAAAGTTCACAGAAAAAAAAAAAAAAAAAAAAAAAAAGACAGACCATCCAATCCACTATAAGTCCTTAAACACAAGGATCAAAATGATTCACACACGCCCACAAGACCAAGACAGTGGCCAAACATAAAATCGAGAGCTGATGCACATGTATTTTACTGCACTCCGTCCACTCTCCCTAGCCCCCCAGCTTACCATGACACAGACAACGATAGAGACATAACGAACAGCCGTACAGGAAAACACGGATGAAAAAGACAGTATGCTTACAATCTGAGTTGTCGCTTCCCAGCAGCTTCTGCACACTTCGGCTCTGCCGAAAACAAGGAAAGACGGCAGAAGACAACCAATCATTCATCAGCACAACCAGTACCAGAAAAGGAAAACTGAACCACATCTCTCCCCCCCACACCCTCTCTCTCTCTCTCTCTCTCTCTCTCTCTCTCTCTCTCTCTCTCTCTCTCTCTCTCTCGTTGGTGCTTTATCACAATGCCTCAAACTGACAACAGAAAGCATCTTCGATGCCTTGGGGTACACGCCGCATTTTGTATTCATTCAGTCATTTCATTACGGCTGAGTTCTTCAACCTTCTCTCTAAACATCGTTATTAACAGAAGCAATCAGCTGCACTCGGAAGTTCTCAAACCAAGAAAAAATGATATCTACGAGTATCAAGAAGCATCTTGGTAACGGTTTGCACAGAAGATCTAGGATATACATGCACGCTTGACAGTCCCAAAAGCCCAGACCTTTGCAGCAAAAAGCTCAGTTCTAGGAATTCCTTTGCCTATACCACAGTCCGTTCACCTCTGCAGCAAACCGCAGACCTTCTCATCCACAGAAAAGCGCAGATCATGACGTACCTGTCTGCAAAGCAGTGTGGACAAACAGCGGGCCAAGGAAGCTTCCTCCGATTCCAATGCAGACAACATCCGTAAGCGGCTTGCCCGTTGCTCCGACCTGCATCACACCAATTTCAGGATTTACTTAGTCATCCATCTAACCGAGAACATAATGCACAGCATGGATGGCCCAGTCAATCAGACCAGCACTACCAATTCCCACACTTATGCTGTCAAACCTAGAAAAAGGCAACCAACTCTGGCCTGAACAGTTGGGCTCACTGAAACATGTAACCATCAAACTGGTTTCAATGCCAAATGGGATAATGGCAATAGGAGTAGCGTGGCCCGAAACAGGATTGTGTGGCATGATCGGGTGGCATGAAACAATATGATGGTGTGGCAAGATTGGATCACTCAAAACTGGCAGGGGAGGTGATGGGACTGGAAAATTTATTGATGCACAATAACACGGGCCTATTTGATTTGTTTCCAATTGTCTGCATACATCCCATCCTACGCATTGCCATCCGTCAACGATACCCCCTCCAGTTGAGACTTTGGGCCTTGCTCCACTGCTCAACAGTCTACATACACTTGGGACGCCTTTCTGGACTAGGTGTGTCTGAAGCCCAACATTTGGAATGAACGGGGATGATGACAACGTCCAGATACATATGGAGTGTTGTGTAGTGGGCCGGGGCCTTTTGTGTGACCAACTTACAAAAGGCAAGCAACAACTGCCAACAAGGTAATCACTGTGCACATCACACAAACTTCTAAGAGGTCAGTCACCATTGTGCCAACGCTAATGCTAGTGGTTCCGGTGGTTTCCATGCCCCGTGAGACCGCCAGTACACGGCCCCAGCCATGCTACTGGTTCCTATGATATTTGGGTCCCTTTAAACTGCCAGTGCACAACGCTAACGCTAGTCATTCCTATGGTTTTTGTGTCCCATTAAGCCGCCGGTACAAAGCCCCAGCCATGCTGGTGGTTCCTATGATTTTTGGGTCCCTTTAAGCCGCCAGTGCACAGCCCAAGCCTCGCAAGATTCCGTCTTCATCACCTACAAAAAATTTGGAGGCTCAGGGCAACCAGACCACAATTGCTGGCGTCACCAGCCGAAAAGAAAACAAAAAACACCCCTGGCGGCTCACCAGGCCCAGGTGTACTGGAGGGTTAAATGCAATCCAGCTTGCCATCCAGCCGGAAAAGAAAACAAAGAACACAGCCCCACGTATAAGAACCAACCTTCTTCGAAATCCGGCATCACATTTCTGCTACACTAGCACGAAAAATCCGGTGCCACATTTTTCTGCTAGCATGAAAAATCCGGTGCCACATTTTTCCAATGAGGTTCACGCTCCCTAAAGAGGGCATTCTTCACTTCAGTCTGCTTCCCATGCTTCCTTACCCGCAAACAGAGAACCACCACAGCCTGGGCCGTCCTCGTAAAGAAAGAAACAAGTCATGAAGGGCTTTACTCACCCATTTGCCACTTCGGACTTTTTCCGAGAAAGCCTTGATCTTGTCCAACACCTCGTGCACAGCCGGAACAACATTCTGACCATCACACGTTATGACCTGCAAGTCACACCAGCACCATCAGTATCAGATTACAACCATCGACAAATCATTGCTGAAGAAATCGATGAGCATACATTCTTTTTTTTCTTTGTTCTTTTGTTTCTTTGTTTCTTTTTTTATTCTGCTGCAATGCAATTTACATAACCCAGACAAATACAGAGTCAAATGGCCAGAATACTTGTGCGCGATCAGGTGGTCACCGCATGTCCTTTTTCCAGAGCATTCAAAGTCCGGCAGTCCATGGCTCCACACAGATGTTCCCCTCTTCTTTCCACTTGCAAAAAATAGCATAGTGCACGACCAGAAATGGACATCCTGCGGTGACTCTAGTGAGGGATGCCAGGCCCGGTTCCTGGCTTTGTTGGTAATAAATGTCAATCTCTTTTGAAAAAGAAGGGGAAATGGACATCCGGCACAGCTGGTCACCCCATGTCCTTTTCCACGACATTCAAAGCCTGGCAGTCCATGGCTCCACACAGATGTTCCTCTCTTCTTTCGACTTGCAAAACTAGCATAGGGCATGACGAGAAATGAACATTCTTCACATCTTCCACTGTCACAACAAGTGGATAGATATCCCATCTTTTCTTCTACACAACGCAGTCAGTACAGGAAGAGACACAAAGCAATGGGGGCACGTGGGGTGGGGCCAGCACGATGTAATAGAACAACAGATAATAATGGAGTGATGAAAGAATGGACAAGTCCAGGAATTGGGAAGGAGATTTATCGCTGGGCTATGCTTGGAGAAAGGTCTTTAGTTCATCAGATGTGCATCCTTCGGGATGTCCATTAAAAAATGGAATGATACAGAGAAGATCAACATAACCCCCGCGCAAGGATGACACACATAAATCGAGAAATAATAGTAACTAAGAAACGAAATATTTCCATCCAACGGCCACCAGAGACCGATCTGCATCCAAAAGTGACTCCGGCAATGACGGGTCTCCTAAAACCCAATAGCAAACAAGGACCCAATAGGAGGCCCTTCTTTCTCCCAGTATTATGCCGAGGGGTCGCAATCGGCCCGCATCTGGTTTTCCTTGTGGCACATCAACAAGTACGAGGCAAGTGCACAAAGGTGGGGGCATCCCCTTCACTAAGAGCGAAGAAGACATGGCCATCGAATCCAACAAGATCACCTGAAAAAGGGTGGACCCCCTGGGAGGATGGTTGTTGTGGATTAAGTACCAACTGTTATGATCTTTGCCAACAAGTGGTAGTCTTCCCCTAGAGACTTCCCCTAGAGATGATGACAAAAAAAGTAAATTGCAAAACAAGCACAATACACCACGGGAAAGAATGCGATAGAAGGATATTGAAGTCCTACATCAAAGCCAGAAGAGTAATAAAAAAAAAGGAGCTTAACAAACCCTCATTTAGGGTAGATCAGAGTGGGCGGCTTCCCGTTGCCAACAGATATGACCTTCCCCAAGACCTCATCATGACGGTAAGGTTCGGCACTACCTCTGGGACCAGCCAATCTGACAGTAATTCGCAACATAAAGGAAATGGGGTCCAACTTTTGATCTGAAGGAACCTTCAACCGGGTTGAATTCTTCATTCCGTAGAGCCTTCAAAAGGTCGAATTCTTGACTACTGTTGGGCCCAGCCAATCCACAGCCAGTGATGCAAAACCAGGGTGCTTGGCTGGCTACACTGGGGCATCCACAGGAGGAGCTTCTCATCACATGAAAAACTTCAACCCCATCGAAAGAATGAGACTGGTCTGGTCTGTTCAGGGAAATCCCAACCATATCCAGGAAAATTCACACCATATCCATGAAGCGTCAACCGCCGACTGCAACATTCGCTGCTACAGTCTGCTCAGGGAAAGAGAAGCATTTGCCGCAGTTGAGAGGAAAAAGGCAAGACTTCAACAACCCATAACAGAAGCACGTGGGATGCTGAACACACAAGATCCAAATCATGCACACTGCCACAAATGTATTTCGTTTACAAAAAAAAAAAGGGGTAGAGAGAGATAGAGAGAACCATGCTCACTACCACAAATGTACTTTACTAAAAACAAACAGGAAAGAAAGAGAGAGAGGGAGAGAAAGAGAGAGAAAAGAAACAGGACACAGAGAGAGAGAAAGAAAAGAAACAGGGGAGAGAGAGAGAGAGAGAGAGAGAGAGAGAGAGAGAGAGAGAGAGAGAGAGAGAGAGAGAGAGAGAGAGAGAGAGANGAGAGAGAGAGAGAGAGAGAGAAAGAAGAAACAGGGAAGAGAGAGAGAGAGAGAGAGAGGAGAAGAAGAAGAAGAAGAAGAAGAAGAAGAAGAAGAAGAAGAAGAAGAAAACACTGGCCATTAACAGACCAAATGTGTTCATATCCAGCTGGATGGAAAAACCAGATATAATTCGTTCAGAATCTTCAGATCCTGATGGACACTAATGTTAGGGGTTTAGCTTCCTTTTACTGGAAACAAAATAGAGGTTACACCAAAACAGACCAAAAATCATTCTTTCCTATAAAAGACAGCTGATTTGTCACCATGTTGCATCAACATACCTCATCTTTGGGAGCGCGTAGTGCCACATGCAATACTGCCCGATTCTCTGTCTCGTTGATCTGTACAGCAAGCAAAGAACAGGACTTCCTCAGATTTGTCTTCCCCCCCTCCACCCACAAAAAAAAAAAAAAAAAGAACAGCCCAGACCCTGGTGCATATCCAGAAGCCTGCAAATGGAACCTGAGCTCAAGTGCCAAAACCAATAAACCAATGGGTGCCGTTTTTCACCTGATCAAGACTTAAAAGTTTGGCTCAGGTGAAGAACAACAGCAATTTACTCAGCCCCCCACCCATTCATTCAATACCTTTCTCGGGATTTTGGCTAAGATCGAGTGTAGTATCTGTTCTGACGAGTTTAATATCTGGGGTTGGGGGGCGGGGGGCAGGGAAGAACAAAAAAAAACAGCCATTTACTCATATGAAGAACATTAATACATGACGTAACGAGATGAACTCTAGAATGTGCTTTATTTACTTACTCAGGGACTCATCATCCAGACAATGTGGGTGCCTTCCGGTGTCGAGTCTTAAAGTCCTCCAAAGGACTTATAGAAGTGATAGGCTGTTGATGAGCAGTTCAACATGTGTACACAAAACCATCCAGTGACAAACCTCATACTGGCAAGAGACACTTAGTGTCACTAACATCGACAACATGTCACTAACATCGACAATTAGTGTCACTAAGATCAACAACAACTTCAGGAAACAGATTTCTAACCTATTTGCAATAACCATTTTCAGTTTTTTTTTCAGTTTTATTGTGTGTATATGGAAGTCTATGGAAAGTTATACGCCTGCTGCGGGTTGATGCTGTCGTCTATCGCTGCTACCCCCTGTGCTGGTTTTGAAAGAGAAAACATCTGCTTGATTATTTTCTTTCACCTATCGTCTTCCACTGAATAGAATTTACGATCACTACAACTGTATTTAGGGCAACCTGCAGTCTAAGTAAGATACAGCAATAATGATCACGCGATCTATTCGGGTAAAGCACAGATCGATTTTTTCCCTCTGCTCACAGTTCGTCATATAAAACGGATACTTGCCAATTTTATTTGCATTCCCTAGCACATGCAGGCAACCACAAACCCACTCTTTCCTCAACTTACCCGCTCTCCTGCGAACATTTTTCCAATCTTCTCGTTCACCTTTGCCTCCTGCAGATCCAAAACACAAAGCAAGGCAGTATATACACCACCGGTCTAATCAGCAAAACGGGTCAAATCCGACCTCCTCACTCAGACTACTAAACTAGCCACCCTGGTTCGAATTAGCCATTCTCAGTCAAAAACCAACTGTCCTCGGCCAAACTAACCATCCTGGGTAGAACTAGCAAGCCTGGTGAACATCCGTAAAATACTTTGTCCGCAATGCCTTCCTCATACTTAGCACAACCGTGTGAGCAACAATTGACAACCAACTATCACAACATCTGCAACTACCCCAACGTCCAACAAAAAAAATATAACGACACCCCATTCAGTTGGGGGGAGCAGAATAAAGCCCAGCGTAGCAAAAATTTGAACACACACACACACACACACACACACACACACACAAGACGGACAGCTCCATGTCTGCAACAGAACGAGCCACCTTGTGAGCCACCCAGGCCCAGGCGACCGTTTACCAAAAACACAGGTGGACAAACATATCTGAACAAGAACAACGGCCAGCTAAAAAGACGCCAAGGAATCACACAATTCAGGGAAACACTGAGAAAGGGAGGGAGAGGTAGGGAAGGGAAGAAGCCCTGGGAATGTGAAGCGATGAGAATAAGGGCCTGGTTGCACATACGCCAAGTTTGGCAAGTAGGCACCTGGTTGCACTTACTCGCCAAACTTGGTGCAAGGAAACCTGTCAGAACTTCTGCATAGTTTCCTTTTCCATTCCGCCACAGAGCGCGGCGAGTTCCTGGCTCTCTACTGCTATTTTGTGGAGGGTCATGCTCGTGACCTCTCCACAATATGAGTTCTTGGCGAGCGCACGGCTTCACGAGTGGAGATATGGCAGACAAAAAATATATATATGTAGAAGAAATATAATGGCGAGTAAGTGCAACCAGGCCTCCAGTTCGACACTATTCTAGTTTTTATTACTCTCCACACACCCGCCACAAATTGTGGTGGATGGCGTGTAGTGCAACTAGGCCCTAAATAAGCGCCTCAGGCAAATTCTTGACTCAGCTCTGGAGAGAGATCTGGCACAAGCGCTCTCTCTCTCTCTCTCTCTCTCTCTCTCTCTCTCTCTCTCTCTCTCTCTCTCTCNACACACACACACACACACACACACACACACACACACACACACACACACACACACACACACACACACAGAGTCAAGGAACAAGTCAAGACTAATTAGAAACAAACTTTCAGAACTCAAACACATTTACCACAAAGGTGGGGTCTCCACTGTATTGCAAAAGATGTCATGGGCCGAAAAAAAGTGAACCGTGAAACACACCGTCGCCAAATTCAAGAGCAGGTCCATGGTCTCCTTTACAACTCTTTGGCGTGAAAGATCAACAACAGTTCCATTGAAGTCCCTGAAAAACAGCAGCGGGAACAACCACAGGAAAATGATTGAACACCCGGATTAATTATTAGAACACACCATAAATTATTTATCAGAACACCATAACCCGGACACCTACATGACCGCTGCTGTATCCGAACTCGTCTAAATTAATAACTGAAATGGAAATGCAGATCTGAAAGACTGTAAGTCACAACTCACCACGGAGAGCAGAATCCTTGCTCTCAGGTCTCAAACAGAAAAAAGCATGACCAGACACACACCAATACTCGTTCCCATGCCATAGACAAACCATTCACATAAAGGAGGACACCATCCCCACTTATCGGTTGGAATTCCACAACTGACATTCTTCCGAACTCTTTAACTGTTCGCCACTTATTCGTCAATGACCGAATTAACCCCAGACAATTGTACTCTAACCCGAATAAGTACCAGTTGACAGGCTTCAGGCCTTGCCAGGCCTCCACAGGGGGCTGCGCCGAATCAGGGCCGGCCACAGGTTAGCTGCTTCACCAGGAGCAGCCGTAGCTGCAGTGGCTATTACTCAACCAACTTAATTTCAATTGAGGATCTAGTTCCTAAGGCGAGCAGCTCGATTTTCTCCTAGTCATGCGAGCAGCTCGACGAGGGGCCCGGTAAACCATAGGCAAAGAGGGAGAAGAGGACAAGATACGAGGGGGGGCTGTGACAAACTGTTTCGGAGTTTCACCGACTCATCAGGAGATTAACCCTCAACAGTGTGCAGAATCCCCTACCTGACAACCCCGGCTGTGGTTAAGCACCAACGACTGCTCGACAACTGATACCCTGAGAGAGGTGGGCACCAACCACTGCCCTCAAGGTACCCGTGACAAAAATCAAAGCAGACTATCACTCAATTCAATTTTGGCCCAGCCCGGCAAGTTGTTCCAGGCCACTCCAGTAACATTGTCATTCGCTTTATTTATTTATTTATTTGTGTATTATTGATAATTATTATAAACTGTGCTGAAGATCTTGTTTCACTCCTCTATCGTCGTACATCAGCCTCAGTCACTCACCTTATTTTTTTATTATTAAATCTTAATATTATTTTATTTAATATTATTTGTTATTTGTTATTCTGCCTCAACCATTCACCTAACTACTGCTGTTAATTGAAAAAAAAAAATAGAAACCATCATACACAAGCCAGCATTCTTGAAGGTGCACGGAAAGCACTTGTCAAACTCTACGTTGATTAACAAGCAGCATATTAAAATTGTATTCACATGTTGATTGATTGCCATGATTTCCCTCATGAATAGAATTGCTCATCTTTCTTACTTGATCAAGGAGGCGGAGCGACCCTCATCTGCAAGGAGATCTCGAAGGTGTGTGTGATTAACCGCTGAAATATGACCCTGCAGGTCAACGCACAATCACAATGACAAACCACAGTAAGAGTTTGTCAAGAACATAGACATTTCTACCTCACACCATCCACCAAGAGATTTAAAAGAGACTAATCATCATACCAATCAATAGACACTTTGCAGGTGATTGCCAAAAAAACATACCAATCAATCCACATTCCACAGCTGATTGATTAATTATTAGACTGATGATGATACGATCAGCAGAGTGATGATGAACGGTCAATCAATCAACACTTAAACACACTTGGAACAGCGCAATAGTCTTTCACATTCCATTTGTGCATATGATCTGCAAAGCGCCAACAACTTCGACAAACCCATGGTTTACTAGAAGAGCTAGGCTAMAARAGTGGCCCGGGACCACTTGCTCGGCCAGGCCAAAAAAAAAAAAAAAAAAAAAAGAGTGTATTAAATTCGCTAGGCTTTGCTAATTGCCAATCTGCTCTCCAGACCTTTCACAGCCTTTTACTATTATTTACTTAAACCACCAGTATACGGCCCCAGCCTCAGAAAGTTGTTGTCGCCGCAAGCAAACCTCCGAGGGGGGGCAGGGCGCCCAAAATCTGCGGCCTCTGAAGTGGTGCAGGTTCCACACTGACACCCGCGGGCCTATGTATGGTGTATTGGTCCTTGAAAACTACCACAGCCAGTATTACATTCGCATAGTTTTTTCGAGTTCAAGATACCCCATTTTCTATGGGGGGACACTTCAAGATACCCCATTTTCTGTGAGGGATACTTAAGATACCCCATTTTCTACGAGGGACACTAACGTCTCTGACAAAACGTACCATATGGAAGGGAACAAATGTCAGCAAGTACTAATGACTCCCATAAACTTGGAACAGAGCAATAGCATTGCATTCCATTCATGTACATGATCGGCAAAGCTCCCACAATGCCCGCAAGCACGCCCATGGTTCACTAGAAGAGAATTAAGTTCGTTAGGCTTTGCTAATTGCCAATCTGCAATGGCAGGCCCAACCACTCGCGCGATATTGCTAGATCAGGCTTTCGCCCATTGTCCAAGATTCCCCACTGCTGCCTCCCGTGGGAGTCTGGGCCATGTCTCAGTCCCAGTGTGGCTGATCATCCGAAAAGACCAGCTAAGCATCATCAGCTTGGTCAGCCTTTACCTAACCAACTACCTAATACTACGCGGGCTCATCAAACAGCGCTAAAAGCTCTGACTATCACGCTAAATTGACTATCTAGACTGTTTGGGATTTTTCCCAAACTGTTTGGTACATTCCCACGCGTTACGCACCCCTTCGCCACTTTGTTTTCAACTGAGAAAACATCGTTCGACTTGCATGTGTTAAGCATATCTTCTGAGCCAGGATCAAACTCTGTTTTTTTTATTATGGCTTAATTTCTGGAATGTAGGATTTGAACCTACAACAATGAGTTTCCCAGTTCCAGTCAATCCAATCTTAGTTAGTCAGCTAGTTGAATTACCAATTGAACATAACAAGGTGTAGCGCAGTCTAGTAGCGCAGCTGTTTTGGGTACAGAGGATCATAGGTTCGAATCCTGTCACCTTGAGCCAATTCCACTTCCCACATGTGAATTCAATACACTCTTAATCTGTCGGTTCATAGTTTGCAATGACGATGGTATTCAGCCACCATGAGGGACATCATGGTGGCTGAAATTAACAAGGCAAGTCAACACCCGTTGACCGATCTCACCCTACAACGAAGTGCGAGTTTTCGTTCGGAAAGAGACTTGTTAAGAAATTAATAAGTCCGGTTCACTTCGCAAAGGGCTTGAATCGCCTCCTCTCCCCCTCCCCCTCCCCCTCCCCCTCAATCAGGGACATACTCCGCTGTAAAATCACGCACCTGACCGTCAGTGCGGCCAGGTTCGTTCTAAAGGTGCAATGCGACCATGAGAAATTACAACCGCTAGTCCGGTCAAGTCTGCAAAGGGCTCGCCCCCCCCCACCCCCCCTTCTTCTCGCCCCCTCTGGCCAAGCAAAAAACACAAGCATTACCAGCTGGCCTACCGGTCGCCCAGTTCGTACAGTTTTGAACTCTTCTGTTGAAATACAGACCCGAGCTCGAATTCCACTGGGAGCAGATGAATGAAATCACAATTCGGAATTACCTAGGGCCGGTCAAGTCGATGATAATATCTCAAGGCCATTGCCCTTTGGGGGGACCAACAAACGAAAAAAAGAAGAAGAAGAAAAAGCCCAAGTCGATGATAATATCTCAAGGCCATTGGCGGACCAAAACCAAAAAAAAAAAAAAAAAAAGGAAGCCCAAG